GTGAGCATATCCTTGCGCAACACCCCTGAGTGATTCAATATGAATCGTGGTCCGGTCTGAAGGCTACGGGCTAATAGTACTGAGGCATCACAAACATGGGGCTCCATCACATGAAAACACAACCTCACCAATTTAGAATATTTCAGACTCACGGTAAATCGTCTATAGTATATGCATCTGAATCCAAACATGCTGATGTTCGCTTGCTGTTGGATGGGGACACAACGCAAGATGGGCCGCAGCGTGGGCCGGTGAGACTGGGTAGCGAGCCCACACCAATTCGAGCTTCGGACCACTGCAATCCAGTGAAAGAACTTGAGACCATGCGCCTGGCAAGATCTGGTCTGATGATCATTGATTAAAATGCCAGGCAACGCATTGCCAACATTACCCGAAAGGATGGGTAGCTTGGGTATGGTTGGGTAGAGAACATCCCCCTCTCCCCGCTTGTTTGAGATGGATCTGCCATTTCACTAACCTCCATCTTGAGTTTGCTGGACACCAGGAACCCCTTCATTCGCAGGGATTCTATTAAAATCCGATCCGTCCACCCCTCCAGTTCGCACCAACTCTAGTTGGCCAATTCTGATCATCACCCACCAATTCAAAGCCCTACGCTCAAATTGATCAAATAGTGTACACCGTACACATCCGTATACCGTGTCATCAGTGGCACCGAACGGGACCCTGGCCATTTGCGCCGCTTGCGCCTTGTGGCAGCCGGACTCGCAAGGAGGTCACGAAGTTGGGCAAAACCTGGAAGATGGGCCAAGTAGAACCACGCGCCAAAAAATGACGTGAGAGGAGTTCTTCTATTTGTCAAGTTGATTCAATCTGTTTGCCAAAGAGGCCAACTCACATCAAGAAAAACATAGAAAAACAAATTGCTGGCTTGGCTTGTCGGTGTTTCTCACCTGTTGATGTGGCTTTCTGAAAGGGGGCACGGCACAGAGTCTCAAAAGCACCTGAATCACCAAGATACAGTCCCAGAACTATATACAGTAGTCCCAGAGTCCAACCTGAAAACATCTGTCTCCCCACGAGATCCCTGCTACCCCAGGGGGTGGGGGGGTCGGACCCCCAACAGAAAATGGATTATCCATTTTTGACCCTGATGATGCATTAGCAACGGTCTAGATCCAGTGATATTCAGTGTCGTCCATAGCACCAGCCTGCACTTACCCAACCTGTTTTGCACTTTCTGCATCATATTTTGCATCACTTGGGTTGTGTTTTTGATCTTTTGGCGTCATCTTTTTGGTCTCTTTTGGGCTGCGTCCTGTTTCTGGTCGAGAACAAAAAACATTGGATAGGGGTCCAGGCATCTGGTATTTCGAAGTGTGCAAAACAAGCGAGCACCTGGTTACACCGAGCGTTAAATCAAAGAAACAGACCTTGATTTGATTTACATTGCGTGGACGCGTTGCCTAATACACTGCATGGACGCGTTGCTTACGCCCGCAGGGCGTAAGCGATGCGGACCCTCAGGGAGCTCCGAGCAGAGGGACCGCGGTGCCGTCCAAAAGGTCGCGTTGCTTACGCCCGCGGGGCGTAAGCGATGCTCCTTGTTTTTTGATTTTTGGCCACATTCAAAGCAAGACCATCATATTCAATCATGCCAGCATGGTCAAGTGAATTCAGGCGGTTCACACGATCTTGGCACTCTTTTTTTCTTGGCGTCTTAATCTACTGCCCAAGCGGAAAGCCATCAAAAGTCTTGAACCTGGTGGGCACCCTGGCATCTCCATGCTCAGACTTGTATTCAGTGAGCTTGCTGGAGCCTCTTTCCCATTCAACCGCGTCGCTTGTCAAAATTTCTCGGGGCCACGCGGAGATAAAACTGGAAACATGTTGGCTGTGTAAATGGAATATTAAAATGGAATTCCTAAAGGTACCCCCCCCTCGATCCTCCATTTTCGAGGAGGGGGGATCCCACGAGTCCCAGCGTCCACGTCGCCACATCTGCCGTCGGTTTCTGGAGCAAAGAAATTTGCTGCCAAAAGACGGCATCTGGCATTCCAAAGACATGATGCCGACAGTCTAAGTCCAAGATTGAAGCGAACTTGGACCAAGTTAATCTAAATTAAGACGCACATGATGCGACATGACGCGACCCAAACTGCTTCAGTCCACCCGAGCAGCCCCACCTTTTGTCCCGGCGAGGGCGAAAAAAAGAGAGCGGGACGCTGTGGGGGTGCGCTTTTTTCCATGTTTTATAATGTTTTATAATTGCTTTTTCAGCTTTTTGTCTTGCTCACATCTTGCGTCTTTGTATTAGCTGTGATCGACGTGATCACATGCACATGAAAATTGTCTCTACTCAAGCGCCTCACTTCATGGCCTTCATGACGTTCTTCACCTTCATCCCCTTCACCTTCATGCCCTTCATGACTTTCTTTACCTTCATTCCCTTCATGGTGGTCTTCTTCACCTTCTTTCCCTTTGGAGTCTTCTTGTTCTTGGAGCAATTGTACGATTTGCTTGTCGTCTTGGACTTGCTGTTGGGGATGGAGCGAATATATGAGGCGCTGCCATGTAGGAGTGCATCATTGTGCCTCTTTGCGAGCCACAAAAGTAGAAATCTATGCCTATTCTCACGCATTTCATTGATCACGGGGGCATAGTTCTTGAACCAGGCAAACACCTGCTCTGCCAAGTTGGTATTGACGCCTTTCACACGTTGTCCCAACGATCTCTTGATACCTAAGGTGTCCAGGCAATCTTGGTTGGTGTTTGTTAGTGTGAATTTAATACTTTCTGACTCTCTTAACATTGGGTAAGTTGAGAGTTCCATCTCCCACCAACGTTGTCACAAGCTTGCGGTTCTGAGGTGGAAAAAGTGAACTCGAGCAAAATGCTGTATAGAGGTCCAAGTGCTCATTACTGATTTCGTTATCAATGACGACACTCTTGTGCACTTTAAGGTTTTCAAGCTCTTCAATGGCAAGGTAGTAGAAAATCCCCATGCCAAGCAGCTTGCGGAACCGGGTCGCAATCTCCGCATCTGCATCACCATGGACCGCTTCATAGGAGTGCTCGATGGCCCTCGCTGACATGCGCCCACGAAAAACAAGTTCAATGTGGTAGCGCAGGTACTGGACGGTAAAGGCCGTTTTGGAAGTAATGAAGAGGATGTTGTCTTTGAGGTCTTTCATCGACAAGACATTTACTTTGCTTCCATTTTCCCACCTGTAGGTGTAGCCATAGTTGGAACGGCAATTGCGTGATCCACAACACACTTGAACATGTGTGACCTCAAACGGACCATTCAGATCGTAGCAAATTGCATCCACTTCCTTGTGGTAGACAAGGTTGCCATCACATCCTGGACACTGACACTTCTGTAATGGACACACATACTTGTTGGAGACGGAAAGTGCACCTCCTTGCAGAGTATACGGCAAGGCCTCAAAGGACGAAGGTACAGCATGGCCATGGACAAGCTTGAAGACATAGAGCATGGGATCTAAGCTAATGTCAGCGAGAAAACTCAAGGGAAGATGGGTTGCCACACCTGCATCAAGCTTCACAGCCAAACCCTCCACATGGCGTACTGCAAAGAAATGCTTCTTCTCGTGGTCTAGTACGATGTATTTGCCCGGTCTGAGTGGAGCGCCATGACGAAGGTATTGAAGTCCAACTCCAAGAGGTTTGAGCATTTCGCAACCATCCATAGCAGTGAAAGGCCCATCACGCATGCACTCCACAGGACAGCCAAGCTGCCGCAACGCTTCAACCAAACATACATCTTTGAAGCCTGGGCCAGAAGAATCCTGAGAAACAAGGTCACCACATCCACCTGCCTCGTTCATGGCCGACTCGTAGTGCATGTCGAAAGATGGTGCTTCTCCAACCCTGGGGAAATGATCAGACTCTACTTCTGCAGAAGGTGCAGCAAGGTCATCTTCACTTTGAGGGAGGCCAGGAAGGAGTGGCACTGCTGTTTGGGTAGCTCGCTTCTTTGGAGAAGGTGAGGGTGTGTCCAGCTCAACCAACTGGTTTGGAGCATCACGAAGGTGTGTAAAGATCTCCGGCTCTCTCTTCACAAGCACTGGCCGCGACCAATCGACACTGACCGGGTCATTGTCACAATTCACGGCATCTGTAGCACATTCTCTGGCAAGCCATGCATGGCCCTCGTGAAATTCTTCAGCTTCCATTTTGATGCTCCCAGGAGGCAAAACCACAGATGAGAGAGAAGAATCTGCAATCCCAAAGTTGCCTACAGGAGGTGGACATAGCTGTTGAACCGAAGAAGCCGAACCCGAAGCCGTTGCTCCATGATCAGCGAGCAGAAGAGCATCAACCAAAGGAGTTGGCTCACGTCCTTCTGCTGCCGCAGGTTGTACAGGATGGTCATGCTTGCGAAGGGCTTCAGCGAGCCAGGCACACTCCCAAGCAACAGATGCCTCAAAGTCTTCTGGCGGTGGCCCGCCCGCCTTCATGTTGGCGATGTCCTTTTTTGCAGGCATCCGTCAAGATGTCGCCCCGAGGCCAATGCAAGCGCTCAACTTTGACCTTCCTTTCTGTCGGAAATCGAAAGTAGATGTTCTCCTTGGTGAAGAGCAAGAAAGCTGCACGCTTCAAGACTGCCATCGAATCTGCATCCGATACATCACCAATGGCTGGCGTGACCATTCTGAGGAATGCTTCGTGTTCAATTTTGTTATCGATGTCAGCATTGGTGGGCTCCCTTTCTGAATCATACTGGTTGTCACAGACAATACGAAGTTGATGCTGAACGAACTTGGCGGCGTTCCAGCGTAGTAGATTTCACCCCCGCCTTGCTTCCAACCAGTTTTAGACAATTGAATGATTTTCACAGGAACAGGTTAGATCTAGTCAAGTCAGCTTTGTTGTTGCCAGTTCTGCATGGCGTGGACAAGGTTTTGGGGTGAGCTATGACGAACTTCCCACAAAGTCTAGATTTTAATGTCGAAAACCAATGAAACATGTTTCGTGAACAGCTTTTATGGCTCTAGCCATTCTGGCACCAGGCCATGGCCATGATCAAAGATCTCGTGGCCAAAATGCGAGGCGTGTAGTTTTACCCTCGCTTGTCCAAGATAGGTTGCGGGAATGTGGCCTGGAAAAGGTAGATTTGACGGCCCCAAAGCCACTGCATGCTGGAACTGTGGATTGCTGGGGCATAGTCAAGGTCGGATCAGGCCAGGCAAGCAGCGGACCTCTCACCGCTTGGACCGAGGAGGAGCGCTGTTTCGCAAACCATTATTTTAACGCAGAGGGGCCATCCCATTTCAGGTTGTTCAGCCTGCAGGTTATGCGAAGATTATTTTTCAAAGCAGAAGCCCGTTTAAACGCCAGAAGCAATGTGCGCCAACACACAGGAACCTGGGCTCCTGGCTCTTTGGGTGTTACTGAGATGATCACGTGCAGCGGAGTGAGCCGCAGAGAGTTTCTGGACACTCTTGAAGTATCTGTAGAAGAATTTAATGCCTTTTGCAAGGAACCCTGTGGTTTCCTTGTGCCTACCCCGCTTCTCGAGCTAATGCTTCGGGGGGGCTGGTCAACTATTATGGTAAATGCAGGGTGGGTGAATCCTTTTTGGCCAAGCCGACAAGTTCAGCCATTGCAAAAGATTATTTCCAAGTTAGGTTTCCCCTGTCCCAGCTGGGTTGAGCAACGGGCTGAGCAAGAACGACCCCTGGAGGCAAAGATTCACATGACCATAGCCATGAGCGGCACCCCCGCACAAACAAAGACTTGCAAGAGGAGGGTCATGAGCGGCACCCCCGCACAAACAAAGCCTCGCACGAGCCCCCCGAGCAGAGTCCTGAGCGGCATTCTTTGAAAGGCACAACTTCTCGGGAGCAGAGCCATGAGCGCTCTGGCAAAAGCAAGTCCAGAAGCCGAAGCAGGGTCAAGCAAGGTTGGGGGCCCTCGGGGTGGGGCTGGTATTGGAAGGAAGAAGATGTATGGGAGGATGAGGAGTGGCACAAAGGCTGGGCATGGAAATACAGGCCCTCTTTCTCTGGCTGGTCCAATTTGCACAAAAGTGGTCAGGCAGGCACGCGATACGAGAGAAGAAGCCAGGCGGCCAGAGAGCGGCGGGCCCAGCGCGGTTATCATCGCCGCCAGACAGGCTGGGAGGAAGCAGAAACCGCAACTGCGCTGGCAGAACCTGCAGAGAGTGAGAAGGATGCAAAAGAAGAAGCTGCCAAACCAGAGCCGGCGTTGGCAGAACCTGATCCACCTGAGAAGGATGCAAAAGAAGAACCTGCCAAGCCGGCATTGGCAGAGCCTGCAGTGAGTGAGAAGGATGCAAAAGAAGAGGCTGCCGCAAATGCAAAGGAAGGAAAAAAGGAATATTTGGAAAAAGACCAGGTGCCTGAAAGCAGGGCAGACGACTTGGATCAACCTGACTATAGCCCTGATGGGGAACCTGCAGCGGGACTTTCCGCACAACTGCCAGTCAAGGTTGAGAAAGTAGAGGACCTGTCCACCTTGGCAGAGCCAGTCGTCGGGCCAGCCAAGGAGGAAACAACAGAAGGAGATGCAGCCATGGCAACGCCGCCTGCCAAGCCTGAGGGAGAAGAACAAGCGGATGCCCCCGCTCCACAAGTAGAAGCGGAACAAGAAGCAGAAGGCTGACCTCTCCAAGCTTTGAAGACAGGTGATGAAGAGAAAGCTGTAGACGCTGAGGAAGTTGAGCGGGTAGCCCCGCCTGATGAAGAGAATGATAAGAAAAGAAAGCAAGAAGAGAACTCAGCGGCAGCAGCAGAAGAGCAGGTTCTGGATTTTAGCGCGCGGGAGGCTCCGCTTGAGATTGCCCAGGGTGAGAAGAAGAAAAAAAGAAGAAAACATCGCAAACACAAAGTGGCGGGAAGCCCCGCGCCGTGAAACTTAGGGCATTTGACGCTGTCGGGAGGAAAAAAAAGTGCCAATGAGAGGTTGGAATTAAAAACCTGGGGGGGACAGGTTTTGATAGTAAAACTATGTAAAACTGTTGGAATTTAAAGAAAACGATGTAAACCTGTTGGAATTTAAAGAAAACTATGTAAAAATGTTGAAATTAAAAGAAACCATTGAATTTTGCAAAGTTTGGTTACTTTTTTTGGTGGAATACCATTCAGATCCGCTCTGGTCCCTTTGCACAGGGCAGCCAGCAAACAAGTTGTTCTGGTAGAGCACTTTGACCTTTTCCAGGGTTGTGAAGGATTGGTCGGGCGGTGGTCGGGGGTTGGTCGGGGTTGGTCGGGCGGTGGTCGGGCATTGGTCGGGGGTTGGTCGGGCGGTGGTCGCGGGGTTGGTCGGGGTTGGTCGGGCGGTGGTCGGGGTTGGTCGGGTGGTGGTCGGCCAATGGTCGATCTGTGTTCCGGCGTGGTTCAAAACCTTTTTGCTCCAGTGACAGATTTCAAGGCTCAAACATCACAGATTCTGCAGAAAAGCCCATAGAGGAACACAAACCAGGCTCAGAACCAACATTTTTAGTGGTATCAGCACAAATTTTAGCGTTTTCAATGTTTTTTTTGATGATTTTAGGTGTTTTTAGTGTTTTCCATGTTTTTTGGATGATTTTACGTGTTTTTAGTGTTTTCAATGTTTTTTTAGCATTTTCAATGTTTTTCTCCGGCAAGTGAGGCCCTCCAACTACCATTTGTTCTAAGAAACCTTTCTTTGTGTTTCCTGGCAGTGGTTGACACCAGGTCTACTTTCCCACTTCAACTTTCAACTTCAACTTTCCCACTTGGTAGAAGTGGGGCTTTGAACGGCGCCATGGCCCTTGTGTCTGCAGGTAGTGGGCAGCCCAGCGCTAGTGGTGTGGAAGCGGAAGCACCGCCAGGTCTTAAAAGATCCGCTCAAGCTGCAGGCTTGGATGACCAGATTGAAGCCCCCACTTCGTTCCTCCTGTTTGAGGACAAAGATGTTCCCTTGCAATCGGACCAGGGGACCTGCTTTACCTTCCTGCAGGAAGCATGGTCGCCCACAAGGTGCATAATCTCGATGTCCTTGGAGTCCGCATCGGGGTCATCAGCCCTGATGCACACATTGCGTTGCAAGAGCTAGCGGAAGCCGCACAAGCAGCGGCTGCGCCATCAGGGCGAAGCTTGAGTGCAGCCGCAGCTTTTGCAAAGGGGTTGCACAAGCAAGCGGAAATGTTGAAGGCAAAAGAAATAGCGCGTGTCCATGGACCACTTGCAAGCGGCAACCCCGCCAATGCAGGATCATCCGTTGATGAAAGCAAGAAAGAAACCCCGCATGAGGAGAGCGGGCTACCAAAAGAGAAAGCATTCCCAGACAAAACAAGCAATGAAACCCTGGTGCCAAAAGAGAAACCACCCGCGGACGAAAAAACAAAGAATAGAACCTTGCACGGAGAGAGCGGGTTGCCCGAAGAGAAATCAGCCGCACATGAAACAAATAATAATGAACCTGTGCATGAGGAAGCAGGCTTGCCAAGAACGCCAATCCCCAAGCCTGCCGAGGTTCCAGGCAAAGTTGCTCCGAAGGATATTGAAACCGCAAGCCAGGCCACCCCAGCAAAACCGAAGCCTGCAGCAGGAGATCCAGCGGCTGTTCCGCCACAACCAACAAAAGGCACTGGGCTGGAAGATGTCGGAGAAAGAACTGCAACAAAAGAACCCCTGGAGACACTAGAGGACTTTCCAGCACCGCCTGACAAGAAAGCGGAAACCCCGCATCAAGAAGAGAAGGCTATGACAATGGAGAAATTAGATGGAGATGCAAAAGAGACAAAAGAAGCGGAAAACCCGCATCCAGAAAAGAAGGCCGAGACAGCGCAAACATTAGATGGAGATACAAAAGAGACAAAAGAAGCGGAAACCCCGCATCAAGAAGAGAAGGCCAATAAAGCAGAGAAATTAGATGGAGACGCAAAAAAGGAACCAGAGGCCAAGGCCGATCCAGAGGTGTTGAATGCCATGCCCAAGTCTGAGTCTCGCAAAACAGATTTGGAGAAGGAAAAAAAGTTGGCCAACCCCAAGACCAAGTCTGACAAGGCACTTTTGGAGCAGGAAGCAGCTAAACAAAGGTTGGTCATTGAAGAAAACCGCAAGATTGCCCAAGAGAAAAAAGCAGAAAAAGCGAAAGCCGAACCAAAGGCCTCCAACGCAAGGGAACAGAAAAAAACACAAGAGAAAGCCAGTGCAAAAACAAAGGTCAAGCCACAGGGCAAAGCGACGAAATGATTGATGTGTTCTAGCGGGTGTTTCCGCGGAGCAATGGCAACGGTGCCACAAGCGGGAAAGTTCAGCGGGCAGCCCCGCCTCTGTTTCTTCAGCGTAGCCTATAATGTTTACTTTCTTCGCTGGGCTGCAAAAAGGTGACCCGTGCCGCTCTATGTTCAACCCCCACACTGGGTCACCATCCCGAATTAGCATCTTAGACATAGACCCGAACAAGATAGGACATAAACACGCATTCTGTGACGCGACTGACTTCTTGCGTGCACCTGTTTTGGTATGCCGTGCATGTAATGCCTTGCGTTTGTCTGCGGTTCTTATTTCTAATTCCTTTTTTGGACATGGAAGCGATATAATCATCGAGCCGATGAAAAGGCTGCTGAATCAACCCCACCTGGACATGAAAAAATGCTGGGCCAAGAAAAGGCATGTGAGTGGCTCTAGTTCTGGAAACCACCTAGATGTAGTAAAGTTTTAAGGTTTGAGCGAAATCTCCCATTCCAGCGTTCTTTTGTAATGGTCTCCTGATCGCCTACATCGCTGAAGGCTTTCTGCTTCTTGATAGTTTCATTGCCGATGGTCCCATCGTCGAAGATAGCCGGGCAGGTCTTCTCAAAGAAAAGACCTCGAAAGAAATCAAACTCCGATGCAGTGCGAAATGTACCTGTGCCCCCATAGTGGCGGGAAAACATCATAGCAATGATCCGGGCTAAGGGCGTTTTTCCGACACCAGATTGACCAAGAAGCCACAACGAGTGAAGCCGAAGATGTGGAAGAATGCGTTCGAGCATGCTGAGGAGGTCAGGGTGAAGGGCGGCAATGGTCAAATCATATCTGCTGATGAGAGCAGCCAAGGCACCATCATTGGCCAAGCTGTCCAAAAGGCTCTTTGAACGAGCTTTTCATTCCACCCGTTGATGGGACTTCCATCCCGCTTGATGTGGCGATGGATCCCCCGCAGTTGCTTCAGATTGCTGCGGTCCCGCTCTCCATTGGCAATGATAAAATCCCATCCTGCGTCTTGCTCATCTTCCGGCAACGCAGCCACCGCACTGGATGCTTTTCGCTTTTCAGCGGAAAGAGAGAAATGCCGAAATTGATGTCCTCCAAGCTGTTCCAGCATGTATTGCAGGCCTCGACGGGCTTGTTGCTGGTTCACCTTGGCCCAACCGATTTCAAAGCCACGACCTTGAAGCAGACGAGCAATGTAGGGACCTTTGACCTTGTCGTCCTTCACATAGTAGTGCTTCACCAGGCAGAGGTTACCGTCGGTCTGAGTGAGCACAAAGTATTGGGAAATGTATTGAAAATGGGGGCGTTCTTTGAGTTGCAGGACTGGAGGGAGCTCATGCCATGCCTTATCGCGGATGACTGCCTTGAGATTCTCGACGTTGATGTGCTCATGGCTGACATCGTAGATGATGTCGAGAAAGTGCTTGATCGATGCACTTTGAGGGTTCAACCTAAGTATCTTTCAATCTATCCAAAAGAATTCGTCTCCGCGAGTTACGCTAACTATACCAATTTTTTTAGAATCATAAAACATTCACAAGGCAAGACGCTCCTTCACAGGCAGCGTTAATGGGGTCACCAAGCCTTGCGGAAGAGGCCCGACATGGACGTGAGCAGGTAGTTCCCTGAGCAAGAGATGCTCCGTAGCATCGATTGCCGAAGTCAAACTCATATTCCCGGGGTCCACGGCCATGTAAGGATACAAACTACTACGCAACTAGCAGAGCAGATTGCCTTGAGATCACAAAATCTATCACACAGAATTCTTTGCATAGCCAAAAAGGCATTTGGAAAGAAGATGATGCCTGATTTTCAGTTGATTTTTTGACATTGGATGGTGTGGCAGAGATTTCATGCGTGATTTTTACTTTTGTGTGGAGATGTGATGATTGATTGATGGAGGCATTCCCAGAAGTTTCAATTCCTTACCAAAGCTTAAAAAAATCCAAGAAATCCAAAAAATACAAAAATGCAAAAAAACAAAAAACATCCAAAAATAACAAAAAAACAGACCTATGTTTGGCTCAGGAATAGATGTGTATCAGAGGGGCTTGCAAAAATGACTCTCACTTTTTTTTTGACTCTCAGTTTTCTTGTTTCTGATGCTAATGATTTTGATTCTGATACTAAAGAAGAGGGGGAGGAAGAAGA